CTTTGGCCAGAATTTCCCCGCCTTTATGTTTGTGCAGTGTGCTGTGATCCAGTTGGCTGCACTTCATTAGCGCCATATGTACATAGTTAGTAAAGCACGGTGGGATCCTTTGGAATAAGAAAGAATTCTTACAGATTCCAGTATGGTCCCATCTTCAACTAGGCCTGCAGACACAAAGCTATGTCTTTGTTTTGTTTCTGTTTTTAAAGAACAGCCATAGTGCTGTTTGTGCTGCCTGATAGGCGCAACTGTTTGACTTATGTGCTGATGTTTTCTGTTCTGAGATGTGCATGTTGTTCAGAGCCAGAAAATGGGCTTTGTCTCTAGATCTGTGAGCAGAAAATATGTCAAATATTCCAGGTAGAACAACACACAGTACTGATGCTGCAGCGAGCTAAACAAGAAAATTGGATATTTTTGGATAGTTCTAAAGAGCTGAAATAAGACCACATTCTCTGCTCAGCACTGCAGTGGCAATGTTTTAGTATATGTAGTAGTGTTTGGCAGATGCTTTCATAGCTATGTAGCATGGACACCGAGAGTTAATTCAGCCCCGCAGAAGCAGGTTCAATTCCCATTATTACAGTTGTGTGGAAAGAGTGTTGTCTAGTGGTTAAATCAGCGACCTAAGAGTCAGGGTTCCTAGAGACCATTCCTAGCTCCTATCTCTAACTTGCTTTTTGACCTTAGTCCCATCACTTAACTACCCTGTACCTCAATTTCCCCCATCTCCAAAATGGGGTGATGATGATGCCCACTCAAAAGTCTCATGGTCTTAATCCATGTTTTAAAACATTTTGAGTCTCATGTTAAAAGGAGAAAGTAAGTGAAGAGTATTATTTTTATATTCGCAGATATTTACCTGTCCATAACATGATCAAAACATATCAATTGGATGCTTGTTAGTCTACTCGAGAAGGCACAGCCTGAAGGGAAAGAAATGCAGGCCATTTTTTATTTGAACAGATGAGAAAGCAATATTTACCAGTGCAGTATGTCTTTGATAAATCTCTTCATTTGGAATGGCTGTAACTTTTGTCGTTACCTTAATTCTAGAATCCCAGTTGATTCCCACTCGCCAGACTGCTTTGGTAGGCAGTTCATTTTAATGCCTCACAATAGTGACAGTACAGACCAGGGCCTGGGCAAAATGAAGCAGAAGTGATTTACTGAGCAAGCAATCCCATCACCCTCCTGCACATCATTTCTATGTGAGACATAAATCAGTTGGTTGATCTCACCTCACAGAAGGAACGACATGATTAAATGGTGGGGGCACAAAAAGCAGCTCCGTTTCTCTGAGTTCACATGCACTTTGGGGCATTCACTAAACATCACTCTGTCTGGTAACTTCAGCTTGTCAGTTGGCTAGAGTTTAGGCACATAGCACACCCCAATATATCAGTTAAATGTATGTATTATGCTGAAGGTAATGTTGCTTTCATCTGCCTAATATAAAAGATCACTATGGTTGAGTAAGGCAAACTCTGGGTAGAATACTAATCACAAGTCACTCCCAGTTAGAAACATGGAGGTAGAACAAAGTGTCCTGCCATGGGATTGCTATTACCCATCTAGGCTTCCAGTGTAATTGGGAATACATGAACACACACACATAGATAGTACCAAAGGAAAACCACAGAACAATACTAACAAAAAAGAAATATATAAAGACGTATGTGATCTCATCCATGCCAAATTAAGAATTGATCAGTATGCCCTAGGGGCCAGATTTTGCTCTGTTACTTGGATATAAATCTAAAGTAACTCTTTGGGTTTCCAGATTTACACCAGTTTTAGCTCAATCAGAATTTTGTCTGTTATTTTAAACAGACACTATTCTGATCTGAGCTTAAATTCATGATTCAGAAACCTGTTTGATTTGCAAATGTTATTAAAACATGATTCTTTTAAAAGAGCAATGGACATAATGTTGCTTGCAACTATTTTACTTTGTAATAGAGGATATTCCTTTCAGATTTTTTACTTCCCCGTTTTATTTTCATGTCAGCAAATGCCTCAGTACTGACATTAGACTGCTTGGTACTGCATATCCAGGACATATGCCATCTGATCCCACTAATCCCTGCTGTCCCACCCAACTCCTAAATGAAACAACAGCAACCTGGCTATCCCAGTCAGCCTGTGGAATTCACTGTGCTGTCTCCTCAGGACTGAGAAAAGGAAAGCATAACAGGAGTTAGAATACTTACTAGCTGGAAGACGAGGAGATACAGCAAGGAGCACCCAATTTAAATATAGCTGCTTTAAGGTTGCAGTTGTCCGTCTCTGCCAAAGTTCAAGGGCCAGCCCCAGAAAGATATGAGAAAAGCATGCTGGGAAAAAGGTTCTACAAGAAAGCAACCCTACAGAGAAGAGAGACCGTAGGGTCCAGGTAGATGCTAAGGATGGAGATGTTTTATACAGCACCTAGCACAATGGGGTCCTGGTCCATGAGTGGGGGTCCTAATAGCTATTGCAATACAAATGATGATATCACCATCGTATCATACAATGAAGCTTGACCTTTAGAAGAACAGGATAACTTGTAGTTATATATACTAATAGAATACCCAAACCTCATGCTTCAAGATATAAGGTGATCAGTGCAGTAGTCAGCAAGCAACATTTCCCTCCATGTGCAGCACAGGTGAAGAACCCAATACTCGATGCTCCACAGGAAGTTAAAAACCACTGTAATGTCTGGTACAATGTTCTTGTGCAATACTGTATATGGCGGTGAGGGTGGGGATGGTGTTTTGCTGGCCTGCAATGATCAGTTTACACATACCTGTTTATGCTGTAGGTCTAGAAGTCAAGAGACTTTATACACATGATATAAAGACCTAGATTAATAGATTCACAGATTTTAAGGCCAGAAGGGGCCATTATGATCGTGTAGCCTGACCTTCTGTGTAACACAGGTCATAGAAACTCAACTAGTAATTTCTGCCTCAAGCCCATAACTTCTGTTTGAGCTCAAACATATCTCTGGCAAGATACAGTCTTGATTTAAAGCCTGCAAGTGATGGAGAATCCACCATAACTCTAGATGAGCTGTCCCAATGGCTGATTACCCACACTGTTAAAAATGTACACCGTATTTCCTCTTTTTTTGCATGTGTGATTAATATGTATTGCCTATATGCATACATTTGCACAGTCAAATCCATCACATCAACCCTCTTACTGTCACGTGGCTGTCCATGACAGGGGACCATGAGCTGAGTGGGAGACATGGGTCAGGCGGTGAATGCAGGGCAGTGATGGGTCACACGGATGAGGGACAGTGGAGGAGGTGATGGGGGGCAGTGACACAGCAGTGATGGGGGCACAATGATATGAGACTGTGATGGAGGAGGCGATGGGAGGCTCTGGTGGGTCACAGTAATGGGGGCAGTGAAGGGGCATAGAGATGCCGAGAAGTGATGGAGTTGGTGATGTGGAGCAGTGATGGGGCAATATCACAAACCAGTGAGTGGGAACAGTGGTGCAGGGCACTGGGAATGGGGCACAGGGATGGAGGAGGCGATGCAGGGCAACATGATGTGAGGTAGGCAGCGGGGATGTGATGCTGGGACGGGATGAGTCACAGTGATGAGGGAGGTGATGCAGGACAGTTAAACTGAACAGCGATGGGGCATGGTGCTGTGGGACAACGATGGACTTCAGGGATGTGGGGAGGTGATGCAAGGCCGTGCTGGCGCACAGCAATGTGAGATGACGTTGGCTGAAGTGATGCAAGGCAGTGTTGGTTGAGGTGATGTGGGATAGTGGTGGGGCACAGTGATCCAGTGTGGTGAATTCTGTATGCCTGATCCTTCAGATGGTGAAAAGCCTGAACTTTTTTCAGGCTGTTTGTGTTACTTAAAGTCCTCAAAGTATGGACTTCAGAAATGCTAGTGAAGCCACTCAGTTAACCAGTATGCATGAGTGCTCTTGTAACTTAGCAAGCAGGGTGAGAAAAAAGCCTTTCAGTTTCTCTCCCCATTCGGTTTTCAAGCTGGAGTGTAATGCATCCAGAATGGCCTTTCATCCTTCTGGTTACTGAGCCAACAGCTAGGGGTTGCAAAGTGGAGACCTGCTCAGCTACTAGATGATGGTACAGCTGGTGTTGCTGAAGCGAAGCCATTTCAATAGTGCCACCTGTATGCCAGTTGTAATCTAAAATGAGCTCCTCCATCAATGACACTAATTAACACCATAATGTACTTCCTAATATACCTCATTTACAGAACACAACATATCTGGCTGTCCAAACAAGTTTAAGGAAATGAGGGTGATTTGTGCATCTCATGAAATGAATTTGTCTAGTGCTAGTTTGTCAGTTCCTCTATTAGTAATGAGTTAAGAGCAAACAATGTGCCAGGTGGTGTCTGAGACACAAAATGAAGCCAGCCAGAGCTTCTACCAAAAGCATTTACAAGCTTAAGCTCCTTTCTTGAAGCAGGTTCTCCACTGAAGTCAGTGGAGTTCTGGCTGGGTACAGGATTCCGCCTGCATGAAACTCATTGCAGGACTGGGGCACAGAAAACAGATGACAGAACACACTGAGAAACCCAGGGGAGGGAGTTAATAACAATAAAAAATGCAAGCTGCTTTTAAACTCACTGCTTGTGGACAGTGCAGTTTCCCAGCCAGCAAGATCAAAATTCTGCAGGTTGCACACTCAGAGTTAAAGGAGACATTCCCATCTACTCTTGACACCTGAAGTAGGATTTCCCTAGGACTGAAAGAAGGGAGCTGACATGACTGTACCAGACTGTCACCTGTAGTATTATTTCAGTCCAATAAAACACCCATATTCTCCACTCACTCTGGAAATTCAGATTCACTTCTTGAACGCAGTGAAGTTACTCTAGCTATACACCTGAATCAATATTTAGCCCCAAACTGCTAATAAGACCATCACTAGCTTTTTACTATAATGATTTGAAGTGATTAAGTTTAGCTATTAAGTAACTACTGAATGTTCTTTATTTTCTCTTTCTATTCTGAAGTATATTTGGTGCTGTTCGAACTGGTGCTTATATGCTGTACATTCTGATGACCAAAGGCCTGAAGCAGTCAGTGTGTGACCAGAGTTTTTACAATGGACCTGTCAGCAAATTCTGGGCTTACGCGTTTGTGCTAAGCAAAGCACCCGAACTAGGTGAGTACCCCTGCTCTCGTTTTTGTTTAATGTGCACATTTTGGGCAAAAGAGTTTATGCAGAAAACATGCAGACCATTCAGTGCTGCTGAAAACCGCTTTTCAGGCTTGTAAATTAAAAAGCCAGACCAAACCCCCCCATATTCATCAGTCGCTAAGCTTTACGCTCAACTGAGCTAAGATTAGAGCAATGAAAAGTTGAACAAGATGATTCCCAAACCCCTCAGGTCAATTCACCTTAATTTTTAGCAGTTTTGATTCAGTTTAGGCAAGCTTGGGACTTTGCATAGTTAACTCATGGCCCTGGGCTAACCCGTGGCATTTAGCACAGCTCTGAGTTGGGGACATTAAAGAACCACATGAAGCCCACCCTCTGTGCCCCTCCTGTAGCTCCCCAGTACTCCTGGGATGGTACAGCCTGCTCGTTCCCAGTGCACCCAGCTAACTCCATGGGCCAATCTAGAGGGCAAGTAGGCTCTTGGCCCTGTACCTCCCAGCCCCCTCTCTGGGGCACAGTGTACTACTAGGGGCAATGGATGGAGCAGTCTCTGTGCTCCCCGAAGCACAGGGGACCTTATTTCTCCTTGACTTTTTTGGAGGGTATGGAAGGAGGCAGAGAGACCTTTTGTGCCCTTGTTTTCCCCACTATTTCTACACACCTATGCTAGGGTTAGGGACAACCTAACCCCTATTAGCAGTTCATAGGGGAAGTGAGAGTTACCTAGTGTTATCTGCTAGATTGGAGGCAGTCTGTCACCTGTTGATTAAGGAAAATATTCATGCTGGGGCAATCTCTTCTCCCATAGAAGGTGACTGACAGTGTCAAATAAGCCCACCTTGTATTGTTTTTCATTTATCTCTTCATAGGGTTCCTTGTTTCTCCTCTCACCTTATCTAGAGATAAATAAGCCTTTATCTAATGGTTGTACCAGCCAGGGCATTGGAAACTTCATTCCTTTACTTTAAGGATCATATACACAGGCCTTCTGCAAAATAGTTGGGCCTTGACCCCATTTCTAAATTTAGTATTTGTTAAATTTGTTAGCTCAGCAGTGCTGGACCATGAAGTGCTCTCTCAGATATAGTGCAGGCATTGCCAATGCAAGTTTCCCCATACTACGCTGCTAATATACCCCAAGCCTGATCTAGACAGGTGACATATAGGAATGAAATTGTAGGTCTGTCTTCGGTCCTTGGTCTCTTCTGAGATGGCTGATAGGTGCTAGTTAGTGTTTGTGGTTTTGGTGATGTGGGCACCTAGTGACCATCAACTCATTGAACATAACTAAAAATCAATTGCTTTTGGGTAGTCTGCTACCAACCAGGGCTGGATATCGGCCACTGAGCTAGTGACCATGACTTCTTGACTGAAATTGAACAACAACCAACATACAGATATACTTAAGGTCTGATACATCCTCTGCTATGAGCTTTTCACCAGTAAAATGGCATTAACCTCAGTGGAGTTACTCTTCGCTTATATCAGCGTAAGTGAAGGCAGAATCCAGCCCATACTCCTGATGCAATTTGTTCAGAATAAAAATAAAGTTCAATAGAAATTCCCAGAATGTGCAACCAGAACAAGTTATCCAGGCTGGAGTATAAGGTTGACTACTCCATATGGCCATGGGAAATCATCCTAAAAGCCACCTAGGATCAGTAGAAATTGCGGGGGTGGGGAAGGAACCAAAGAGGTTCCATCTAAAAATAGAAGTGCTTTTAGGTCCAGGTTCCTGGGGCTATTCAACTTTGTGCAGCTGGTAGCTCAGGAACATACATATTAGTCAGCAGGTCAAGAAAACCTGATGTAACTCATTGTTCAGTGCCGTGTCGTCCCCCCGTCTCCTCCCCCCGTGTTGTCTGCAGCAGAGATGAATCTGTTACAGCTTTCAGCCAGGGTCCTTAAACTCAAGCTGTTGAGGTTCACGTTTAAGCTCTGTAGGTCACAGGTTCAATGGCCAAGAATAGACATCATACTGACTGTATCCAGTGTCAAGGGAAAGTTGCACAGCCTTGGGCTTATCACTGTACTTTGACTGATTGCATGGGGACAGGTCCTGAACTCAGAATAGCGCAATACACTAGGTTCCTCCATAACCTTATCTAGGCCTGTCCCATAAATAACCACAAAAAACTCCCTGTCAGACTGTACAGGGTACCCCATGTCTGAAGCAGTCAGTCATTACAGATAAACATTAATAGAGTGATTTGCAGAGTGACTCAGCGTCTGTCTTACTGTATATAAATCTGGAAGCCACACACAATAACATCAAGCTATGGAAGCAAGAGGCTTCAGGTCCCATTCTACCTCAGTTCTGTTTTATTTATCGTTATTTTGTGTGTGTACACACAGGAACATTGTGTTTCCCCCCCCCCTAAACACACCAGAAACCTAGGTTGGCAGTTTGCTTCTTGCAGACAGAAAATAAACACCTTTCCGATAGTATTGTAGTTCTTCCACCCACCCTCCTATTGGAGGCAGATTTTGTAAATGGTTTTCTCTCCAGCAGTTTTTGTAAGGCTATAAAGAATATACTTGCTAGAGTATGTTTAGTACCCAGCCTGTACGTTTGCTGCTCATAGGACTTCTTAGTATGAGAGAGAATGGTCTTAATACAAAGTAGGGGACAATGATTCAGTAGTCCTCCAGTTCACTACTGAGGCTGCAGGTTACTGAAACCTCAGAGGTTTATCTGTATTTAGTGAATTATCTGTATAATTCACTAAATACAGATAAACAGCAGGAATAGGTTTGTATTTCAGCAGCAAACTCAGTTCAGTGGATTTCAGATTAGCAATTTATCAGCACATCAGACAAGAAGACACACAGCCCCCTTCATGCTGTTTCAGACTCTTTGATTTCTTACTGTTTGAATTACATGAAAACCCACTTAGATTTGGTTGTGTTAAAATTAGGAACTATCTGCTAGAAATATAGGTTCTAACCAATGTGACTCAGCATTCTTGCAGCTAATGAAGCAAACAGAAGTGTGCGTAACTGTAGCATTAGTACACCTCTACCCCGATATAACGCGACCCGATATAACACGAATTCGGATATAAAGCGGTAAAGCAGTGCTCCGGGGGGGCGGGGCTGCGCACTCCGGCGGATCAAAGCAAGTTCGATATAACGCGGTTTCACCGATAACGTGGTAAGATTTTTTGGCACCCAAGGACAGCGTTATATTGAGGTAGAGGTGTATGTACAGAGCTGCCCAGAGGATTCAATGGGCCTGGGGCAAAGCGGGGGAGTTGCGGCACTTGTACTCACCTGGCGGCGATCCGGGTCTTCGGCGGCGGGGGGCCATTCAGTCGCTCCGCATCTTCGGCAGCACTGAAGGACTCGCTACCGAAATGCCGCCAAAGACCCGGAGCGACTGAAGAGCCCCCCGCCACCAAAATGCCGCCGAAGACCCAGACCGCCTCCGGGCCAGGGCTCGCGAGGCCCCTGCTGGGCCCGGGGCAAATTGCCCCACTTGCCCCCCACCCCCTTCTGGGCGGCCCTGTGTATGTAAGGCATAGGTTTAGTTCCACCCCCTCACTAAAGTTCATCTTTTGGATTTTCCAAGGATATATGCACATATAAACACACCTTGTGGTTCATGCTTTACACTTCCCCCCCCCTATAAATCACTGTCTATAAGAAGAGCATATGCATATAAATAAAATAATTAAGATCGATGCAGTAGTGGCAAACAGCAGGAAGAGAGGAAAGAAACAGTAAGTGGAAAGAATACTAAAACATATTTCTGCAGCAATAGCTTGAGAATTTGGAAGAAAGGGATATGAGGTATTTCAGAATTACCCCGTTTTCTCTCTAAAAACAGGAAGTGTTTACACATGCACTCCCTCTCCAGTGGTACAGGTTATATATACAGTAGCATTTTGCATAGTAATAAGTGAATGCAACTGTTTCAGGTTGATTTGCATAAGTATCAAGCATTCAGATACTTATTCATACTGTTCGATGCTGTCACACTAGTCAGTCAATCCAGAATGACTCCATTGCCATTAATGGAGCTACTGAGAAAAAAATTTATTGACCCGAGTCTTAAAAAATGAGTTCAAACTCTCATGAGAGCAGGTTCTCCCTTGAGATGTCTGGTACTTCCTGCTTCAGTTTGGCTAGAAACAGCAGAGGACTTTTCTTTTTACGATTTCCATTATTTAGTACTTTTAGTCAAGCCACAATGACAACCAATGGCAGAAAAAAAGTCCCAGAAACTTTTCAAAACCTCAGACATGGTTGGGTGCAAGCTCTGAGTGAAGTGTCAGTGGAAGTGCAACCGACATTCTCAAATATAATTCGTGATTTGGCTCAGATTTTTGCGGCATCTTAAATGGACCTTATTAACAGAAATTGCTGAGCACCTGCCCCTGAAAATCAGCCCCGTTGCAGGTGTCCCAAGTTGGGCAGCCAAAAAACTGAGGACCCAAAGTCACTAATCATTTTGAAAAACTTGACTGTATTCATTGTTTTATGTTATATTCCCTCCCCCTCCCCCTTTCCCACCCTCCCCAACCACTACAGTCCCTTTAACAATACTGGCAGTTAGGTTCAAAAAATCCTGCTTGCATGGAGGGAAAAACCTAAAGCCTTTTGCAGAGAGACTCACTTTCTTTGTTTGTTAATGACTTTTGTGTAGATCAACAGTGAACGATTTGACAATAGTTTGCTCAAGTTATAATATTCTTTATACAAACTCTGAAGACATGTATATTAAACAGATTTCTTAATAGTTATACAGACACAGAACTTTGCTACAAAAACATTTTGTATAGTCCCTCCTGTTCCTATTTATATTAACACTTAGTACCACAGATGTCTAGATATTTACTGGTGAGAACACAATGGCACAAACTCTTCCCTGAGTTACCCATGACTGTCACTGCATTGTGTAACTCCACAGAGCCTGATTCTGCTCTCACCCCACTGTAATTCCACTGGCAAACAGACACAGGAAAGGATGGGTGCATAAGGAGTTTTCTTCATTTTGTCCTATATGCCAGGATCCAGTGATACAAAATCTTTGTGCTCTGTGATTGAAATTTTCAAACCTGGGGGGTTGGGGTATCTAAATTTGGGCACCTAAATCCATATTTAGGCACCTAGTAAAAACTGGCTAAGCAGCTACCACTCATTGACTTTCATGTGAGCAGGAGTTGGAAATCAGATACTTTCATTCATGTGCCTAAATATAGGATTAGGGGTCTAATTTTAGGCACCTAGGTTTGAAAATATTGACTTGAATTTTCTGCCTTATAACCTCAGGGACAACACATAGTCAGTCTTCCCTTACTATAATTAGCTTTTGGTTTGTTACACGTGGTTTCCTGGTGTCTGTTAAATACCACTGTTGTCTGACGTTGCATCAGACAAATGGACATTGCTTGTGCTCAGAACATCAAAACTCAAGTCAAAAATACAATGCTTACGAGAGACTTTCACAGATTGCCTCCTGAGCAGAGAATGTCTCTAAATTAAGCAGTAGCATTTTAAAATAGCAGTTAGTCATGTCACAAAGATTGGATCCTATGTTCTTTTCAAACAAAGACCCCACCAGTGCAGACAGTGTTTGGACATGGAGTTTTGGTTCCCCATCATAAAGCTAAAGGGACACTTGTAAAATCTGGCTCTGGACATACATACAGAAGTTGTTTCTAAACTCCAATAAAGTTATGGGGTATTTAGATCTGAGGTTTTCGTCAGTGCCCCAAAGCTCTACAATCTAAACAACTTCCCACCATTTTAAACTTGGCAGAACATAAGAATTACAAAGTAGTTTGATTTGTTTCTGATATTTCCCCCCTGTCTTCTCTCTTACAGGAGATACAATATTCATTATTCTTAGGAAACAGAAGCTCATCTTCCTGCACTGGTACCACCACATTACGGTGCTGCTTTATTCTTGGTACTCTTACAAGGACATGGTGGCTGGCGGTGGCTGGTTTATGACCATGAACTATGGGGTCCACGCCGTTATGTACTCTTACTATGCCTTGCGGGCTGCTGGCTTCAGAGTCTCACGCAAGTTTGCCATGTTCATCACCTTATCACAGATCACTCAGATGTTGATTGGTTGTGTAGTTAATTACCTGGTCTTCTCCTGGATGCAACAGGGGCAGTGCCACTCCCATGTTCAGAACATCATCTGGTCTTCTCTCATGTACCTCAGCTACTTCCTGTTATTCTGCCATTTCTTCTTTGAGGCCTACATCGGCAAAACCAGAAAAGCAAGGAAGGCTGACTAGTGGTATAAACAAGACAGAAGCCATAGCTCAGGGTCATCAAGAAAAACAAAATAAAAACAAACAAAAGAAAATGGCACAAGGAAACATGTATGGTGCAGCTAAAACTCGGCAGCTTAGGGACAGCTAGGTTGGTTTAAACCAGTAAGTTTATGATCCTATCATGGTGAGGACTCACTGAATTCTACTCCATCTCAAAGGACTGCTGAGGAAAGACATCTTCCTTCTTGTACCTGTCAGCTCTGAAAAAGGAAGGAAAATAACATTTGTGGGGGGGGAAATAAGCGTTGTTCTTCCCCAAAGATGGAAGAAAGACTTTTATTAAAAACAAATTATTTCTATATCCTTTCTAATCTTTTTTCTGCATTAAATTTGAACAAAACAAAGCAGAGAGCAAACTGTTTGTGTCTGATACCAGTACAGTTACAAAATTAAAAACTTTATCCTAAAGGGTTGACATGTTTACCCCGAAAATGAAAAGTGAATGGCTATCTTGAATGTTTATTATGGAAAGTCATTGAACTCCATTGCAGTAGTGAATGTAGTGGATAAAAGATTGATTTCCCCATTCTGTACTATGCTGTGCATGCAGATCTGGTATGCAACATCAATGCTTTGAGCAGGCAGAGGGAACCAGTAATTTTACAAGATTTTAATGTGATGAGATGTGCTGTTGCAATACATATCATATCTCAGAGAGTGCTTTTTCCAAGTGCATCAGAGTCAAGGAATTTCTGCAGCAGAATAATACAGAGGGTTAAATCAATCTCTGTTAAATCACCTGGGGCTAGCAACAGAGCAGTGGGTGGGGAGGGTGAGGGAGAGAACCCCCAAATATTTTTAACAATTATCTGCGAGTCTCAGATTAATCAGCAGTATAATAGAAGTTGAAGAAAATGAAGGTGGGGAGGAATCAGAAGAAAATCTAGATAGCTAGAGATAGGCACTCTCTCTATCTACAGAATAGAGCCCTGTGGTACAGCACATCTTTTATATTTTTGTGAACTTCAGAAAAAGATCTCTGCAACCTTAATAGCATTCGGCAGGACTGTATGTGACCTTGGGTAACACTGTGTTTCTGCATTTGCTTCATGAGCAATGCAAAGATGTTTAAAGTGCCCTCCTCTGGTCATGTGGAGATACTACAACAAAACATACTTGGAATAGTTTTTCTTGAGACTTGTATAGAAAAATTAGTCTAAATGAAATAATTTTGCTGCAACCGCTTAACTCTAATGTCCGGAGAGAATTATCCTTAATTAAGAACAATCTGTACTGTAGCATCCGGCTGAGCACTTAAGAAGACATCCTGTTCTCAAGTCAGCTACAGATAGAAGAAAAGGTATTTCACTCTGAACCTCAGAGAGAGTTAGTTGATAAGAGCCATATTCTTTCAAAGAAAAGTAGATTGCATTATCTGTAACATTTCAGTCCTTACAAAGCCAAATAAAATGTGTACAAGTTCCTAGTATTTAAAAAAAGCAAGTATGTAAACTTGATGTTAAATGTGTTAATGTAGTATTCTAAATTGTATCAGTTTGGTAGTTTGACTAAACAATTAGAAGAACTAGATGAACAGAATAGGGGTTGCTGTTCTGCATAGAATATACACAACTACACCCATATACACGTTATGTGACTTGTCAACAAGAAAAAAGTCCAGTGGAAGAGAATCACATTTTCTGGCTAATGCAAAAGTTGTCATTATCTTTCTTGCTTTAATTTGAGATTGTACAGTACAAAGTATTATTATTATTATTTTGGCTTTAATTGTGCTGACATTCATAAAAACAGAGCTGCTTAATATCCTATTAGAGACGAGAAGGGCTTTCAGTGTCTCATTATGTGAAGAAGAAAAAAAATAAAGTTACATTCCGTATTATGTGAATGCTTTTAAAAGAATCAGAAAGTCCTTGGGGGCCTATCCATAACTATAACAAGCAGAAAAACAAGTTTACATGTGTGTTACTTACGTTATTGATGTTCTGGCCTTATTTTATGGTACACAACCAACAGCAAAATGTGATATTCAGTAATGAAGATAACGTGAGCTTAAATGATAGAACTACTGTATAAGAGCTATTAGACAAAAAGAATTAAATGTGTAAACGATGGTATTTCACAGTTTTGGAAGTAGATAATTATAATGCACAATAAGCTGTTTTCTCCTGCTTAATTTTTGCCCGGGCTTAAAGGTAGCAGTAACTGAAGAGAAGCAAAATCATTAAGGATGAAAAAGACAAAATTAAACTTGAATTCAGTCAGAACAGAAGCATCAGTAACAAGCCAACAATTGTGCCATTCAGATGTTCAGTTCTGTGTTTCTATGGTCTCTAATCATTTCTATGCAGGCTGAAATAAAAAGGAGGTGAAAGTGACCCACATGTCTTTTGAAATTAGGGGTGAAATCCTGACTCCACTGAAATCAATAGTTTTGCCATTGACTTGAATGAGGCTAACATTTTCACCCTATAATGCCACTTCTTTTATCTGAATAATGGGAAAAATTGCATTCATTTTAATTTATTTTATGTTTATTTAAAGGCTCAATAAACATTACAAATAAGAAGCTAGACCATAGGTAGGTAAAGTATTATGGGCTAATCTCAGTGGTTTAATAGAGGGGAAATAATACAGTAGGCTTTTTAAAAACAATTATTTCTATGCAGTATTTTCAAAAAATATACAGTATTTTACACATTTTGTTTAATTTGTCAAGATGAAAAACAAATGATACTGTATTTAAACATATAGGACGAGATTGAAATCCTGGGAGTTTTGCCATTTACTTAAACAAAACCAGAATTTCACGCAGTGAGTAATACTTTACTCCTCTACGAATACATCTACAGAGCAAATGAAGTTGCGAGTATAGCATGGGTAGGCATAGATTAAAGCTAGCGTGGGTAACAGTAGTGAAGGTGTGGTAGTAAGGAGTTCAGCATGGGCTAGTAATCCAAGTACATACCGAGGTCCCCAAAGTCAATGGGAACTAGGGTGACCAGATGTCCCAATTTTATAGGGACAGTCCCGATATTTGGGGTTTTGTCTTATATAGGCGCCTATTACCTCCCACCCCCGTCCCGATTTTTCACACTTGCTGTCTGGTCACCCTAATGGGAACTCAACTACTGAGTAAAGTCTTCATGCAAATAAATGGGACTACTCAGATAAGAAATACTTATTAATGGATTGCAGGATCAGAATCGTATTTGGCAGTATATTTGAGTAAATTGACGGCTGCACTGAAAATTGAACGGTCATTTGCTTTATCTGATGCCATACCATGGACTCATTTACTTATGTCTTATTTATATTGCAGTACTGTACAGTAGAATTTTTACTGATGAAGTTTCACTGGATTAAAATGTGATAGTCTCAATTCCTTTAAATTAGATTAAGTCCAAATACAAAAATCTTTGTTTTTATATTTTTAGTTTCAAAAAAGCACACATCCCCTTCAGGCCCCCGTCATTTAACCTAATAACATCAGGGTTAAACCTATGGGGCCAGCTTCAGTCCTGGTGTAATTCCACTGAAGTTTATGCAGTATTGCCAATCCAAATTGTTCAAAATTCATGAGTCAGGCCCTAAAAATCATGATTTAAAAATAAGTGTTGGGTTTATTTTTCTTTGCCTTCAGCATTTTGAGCCTTAGGGGGTCACAGTTTCAACCTCTACTCTACAAACATGAGGGCTAGAGACTTATCTTTTTTCAATGAAAGCTAAGACTCTGTTGTAGTCACATGACTCCAGGAGCTCAGACTGTAAGAAAAACACTAAGTATTGTAAACCTAGGATAAAATAATGACAGTTGGCAGCACAGTTCATGGGATTCATTTGGCCTTGTGAAGTCAAGGAAGTTACACCAATTATGAATTCAGCCCACTGGGGCCAAATTCTGTTCTGATTTACACAGGTATAAATCCAGTATAATTTCACTGGAGTCAGTGGAGTTACTCTAGATTTACACTCATGCAGCTAAGAACAGAATTTGGTTCTTGCTGAGCAGTGATATTGTATAGTGACTATTTAAAGAAAATATTTTCAACTGGTTAATAAAAATGTCAAAAAGTAGGGTAAGTCTGAAAGCTCTTTAAGTTGTGCCTGTGGGAAAATAACCCATGCTTACAAACATTTGTACATCAGAATCACAAATGATTTGTGTCCGATCTCCCAGATAGCACATAAGAGTGACTGGATGCAAAGGAGAGCTACGCCCATGGAGCCCACCAGGAGAATGTCACAGTAAACTAACAACTGCTTTTACCTTACAAAATAAGGACATAGCCATGCAGATGGAATACAGTCAACAAGCAACCTGAGTAGTTGGAATCATGGATTAGGATGTATGTTACAGTAGATATGACAAGGCAATCCTTGTTTTCCAAGAGATGATAATTACTGATAAAAGCCATTTACAAATCAGGGTGCTTAGGACATTAGATGTGAGAGGTTAAAATGTGGATTAGCAACCTTTCTAAAAATGAGTCTAATGTAAATGGGTTGTATCCTATATAGCTTATACTACTGTGGCTGGTGGAAAATGCTTCGGTGAAATGGTCTGTCCCTACACATTTTGTTGAGTAGTTAATTGCACAGTGGCTCCTTGGTCCCACTCAAGTGTTTGACAACTTCAGAATTGTTCTATGATTTGTTTGACCCTGAAGACTTGATTTCCGTATGTTTCTTCTCTCTCATAAAATTAAGTCTTGGGAGAATATGTTAGTTAACAAACACTTAAGTGAGCTAAACTCCTCCTGTATGCAGGTAATCAGTTTTATGTAACAGACTGTGTAAAACACAAATGATTGTGACTATGAAAACAGCAGCCTTTGTGGGCAGGTGCCAGATACAGTATGTTAGTGCAATGTGATGTATCAAAACAAGTTAATTGTTTGCTTTCTGTCCTGTATTTCAGAACCACTTATAACAGTATAATATATTTATATACAAATAAATATAGGTATACTTTATGTATAGTAATAAACTGGCTTTGATAGAGGAAGCAATTTGAATGGATGATGATGAACTCCAGCATTGGTGTGATGTCTCTCTCCTTCAGGGTCTGATTTGAAGCCCATTGAAGTGGATGAAAGACATCCATTGACTTCAGTGGGCTTTGGGTCAGGCCTTTACAGTCCAATCCTACAACGTGATAAAAGACCTAAATCCTGCTAAGTTCAATGGGTGTTGAGGTTGCTCAGCACCTCACAGGCCTTAAAGACACAAGTCATTAATCCTTAGCCACATTACCCTCCCTAAATGAACTGCAGAAATTATAAGGAGAAATCGTCAATATTTTTCTATTATTTTATTTCTATATAGCTTATGTTCATTTAATTAAAGACAAAAGACCCAGATCCTGCAACTGGATCCATGCCCATGCAGAGCTCCACCGAAGTCACTGTGGCTGTACATGGGCAGAGAGGTCTTTACCCACTTGGAACTAGTTGCAGGATGAGCACCTAGCAGGTTTCAAGATAACCAGCTATACCAAGTTAGATCAGCTTTGCAGAGTGAGTTCTGCAGCTTGGGCGGTAATGGGCCTTTCCTAAAATGTCAATATCTCAGTGGAGTGCTGCATTTTGCCAAGTTGATGTGTTTGAATCTCTTTCCTATGGGACATACAGCAGTATTCCCCTTACTTCATGATATTCCCGAGAGGTCCCACTTCTTCCTAATCCTGGGCAGCTTCAAATAGGCCCATCTGCCAAAAACCAAACCCGCCCACCCCACAGCTCTGATTGACTTTTCTGCTTTCTCAAAAGCCAATACACCTTTTAGGCTTCTTGGAGTATTAAACCTCAAGCTAGATTGCTATTCAGATAAGATTAAATGTGTACAATAACTAGGAGAGAATAATAAGAGAAATATCTTTATTTTGCCATTTTCAAATGGATATTTCACTACATAAAAGGAATTTTATTTTTTATTTTTTGGGAGGGATATTGCTATTCAAAATAAAATTTTAACTTTTGGTTCAAAATAAATTATTTTTCTGTGTTTTATTTTCTTATATTATCTCTTGGGGCAATAACTCTGTCATGTGTGGTTATAGGGTGACATAGGCAATTCTTTGGCCATCAAACTATGGTGTTCCTATTGTATCTCACTTCATGCCCCCACCCCACTATGATTTTTATACACACACACAAGCATCTTTATTCTTTCCGAGTATATAATGTGTGTATATTTTAAATCTGCATAAAAGGAATTTTTACTGGTAATGGGTTTCAAAAGGATCATAATCTTTTGATTTTAACTTTAGAAAAGCTCGATTCATCATGTTTATTTTACATTAAAGGCCAGATTTAGGGGCAAGTGACCCAGGCGACTGCCTGGGGAGCTGGGCTCGGGGTGCTGTTTTTGTTGTTAGCAACAAAAGGGAAAATAGAATGTTTGAAGTTAAATGTTTCCGGTAGTCTGTATTCAAAAGTTGAACAAATGGAGGGTGGGAGGTGTCTAAGAGTTTCTTGCCTGGGGTGCCATTTGGTCTAAGACTGGCCCTGTTGCACTCTGAATGGAAAGGTGGAATGCACAGACACAAAAACAGTCCTTTGAGAAACTGTACATAAGACTGAAAGAGTCACAGTAACTTCTGCTGAAGTTTTCTGAGCAGGTCTCTCCTTTCTGTATGGAGTTCTTCCCAACCTCCATGTGCCCTTTAAACCCCTTTAACCATCAAACAGTGTACTCAGCCACACTGACAGTTCCAGTAGTCTTCCCACACACCACCCCCTATTTTATTAATTCGTCCCTACACACCACACCCTATTTTATTCTTCCTACCGCACCCATCCTCAAAAGAGAACTGCTAGCCTACCACATGAGAGTTTCAATAAACAGCTCCCCCGGCCGCCCCCTCACACACACACACTCACACTCTGGTCCAGTTTGGAACAATGCTTCTCTTTTTAACAAAACATTAAACACAACATTGCTTGCTCCAGGCCTCAGTACTGGGAATCGCAGTCTACACTACCACTGACACACTCCACTACTGAAACATGAACACCTTCTTCCATAGCCCTACATCAACAAAAACACACACGTTTTTAAAATTTTGCAGTTAAATCAAAGCCATATTTAATTTAACTAATTATGCTAAACTTTTAATGTACAAGCATATTATTTTGCTGGAAAATAAGCATACTTAGCTCTTACAGTGCTTCTTAGCCACCGTTCTCAAAGTACCTTACAATGGAAGGTAACCATTGTTGTCCCCATTTCACAGATGCGGAAACTGAGACATAGAGCAGTGAAGCAACGTCCCCAAGGTCACCCAGCAGGTCAGTGACAGAGCCAGGAATAGAAACAAGGTGTCCTTAGTAATGCTTTTGTCACTTGGACCTCTAAAGACTTGGACTTCTGTGTATGAAAATTCAAGCCAGCAATGTGTTTAATTCTATGTTGATTAAGTACAAGAAACTACTGCCCCAAGACAATATTTATGTGCTAACAAAATCTCACATAGTGTCCTTAAAAGAGAGGGATGATTATATTCTGCCCTTAACACACTGTGCTGTGGCCAAGTACTGCAGCCTATGTGGTATGTAAGAGGGCCTCAGGAAATGGGACAACAGTAGAGATGGGCCAAAACGAGAACCTCTTATCTAAGCCCCTTGGAATTTGGGAAGGCAGGGTAGGGTCATACTTGAATACCTCTATGTTTACTCTTCCCAACAGCTTTAGATCCAGAGTAGAGCCAAAACCAGTGGGGTCTTATTTTCTGGGTCACAGACAGATTTTCTGCCAAAAATGGAGAAAAACCACCTGGAGAATGGCTAACCTGTTATGTTTTTCACCATCTGAGGCTACCACCACCTCTGAGATTTCAGTGTCAATAACCCTGAACTCTTGACTTCATTCAGCCTTGAACCTGAATCTAGAAATCAAACCTAAACCTAAGCCAGATGCAGAGCCAAAAAGCACTCCCCTTGGGGGCTTTTTCTGAGAACAGATTACACCAGTGGGCCATCTGGAAGCAGAAATCCAGACACTCTACAGGAAGCAAAAATAGAAAGAAAAAAAGTCTCATTGGGCAGT